AGTGGTGCATCAGGAGCCCAATGGAACTTTTTTTTTTCATATTAACCACACACACAGTTTGCATATATATTTGCACGAAAGGAGTCAGGCAACAGCACACACAGTGTGGATACAATCAGAGTGTGACAAGACTTTTTACTTTAAAAGAAAACAGGATGGAATTTGGAAACTTGACCTCCTGGCCAAGTGCTACTACTAAATGAAACATTAAAAAGGGGGGGACAATCCAAGAAAAAAATTGTAAGTATAAGATTATGCATGACTCTTTTCAGAATTTAAATTGAATTAGAGTATTTCCTTCAGCATAAACAGGGAATGTAGAGATAAGGGCATAGCTTTTTTGTCCAGGATATACTTCCCACACACACTTGTAAGGTCAGCCTTAGAATGGCAACAGCACCTGTTTTCTAAATATGTACAATGTGTAGACAAATGTATGCCTATGTGAATCTTCTGCATTACATTCTCAGTATATTAAGATCAATAATCTCTATGCAATAAACTGAAGATAGGTTAGAGTGCAATTAACTAAAACTTTTATCATAAAGATTTCTTTATGGAAACTTCACTGTACAGTCAAAATAGCTGCATACTAAAAAAAGTAAATAGCTTCTTTACAACCGAACATGGCATAATCTTCTCATGCTGAAATAAAAATAATGTATGTTACAGTTTCATTCAAAATAAAGGCTTTGTTCTTTGATCTATCAAAACATTTTTCTGTTTCACAGGATATTCTCTCATTATAGATAATTGTAATTACAGTCATCCCAGACTTATATTGTTTAAAAATTACTCATATCCTTTCCATCTGTGAATAGTTTTAGATCTTAGATTCATTTACTATCAGAAGTGTGATTAATTCTCAGAATGTTGTGTGACTACTTCATTCATTCATATATTGTACTAACTCAGCTAGGGTCCTGTGATTTGCCTTCTGGGTGATGAAATCTGCTGGAAATGCACAATCCTACATGCTAAGATACTTTTCATGAGCTTACGTGGAAAAGCTTTATAATAAACCAAGGAACAGATTTGGGTAATTTGCACACAACTCCTCTGAACTAAATCCACAAGTGGTGTAAGTGAGTATAGCTCCATTGTCTTCAATAGAACTATGTTGATTTATACCTGCTGAAGACTGGCCCCTTTGATAACGGTTACATTCATGTGAATTTCAACAGTATACAATACCTTGGGCTAGTCCAGAACAAAACAAAAAGGTATACCAGCGTGTATGTCTCTCTCTGCAGGTCCATATGTGGGGCAGGGCTATGAAGGAAAAGGGAAAGCTGATGAAGACGAACTGTATAAATACTCAAGACTCTTCTGATTTAGCACATTTCTGTCATCACATTAATCCAAGCTAGCATATTTCATTAATCTTATCCTTAGCTTTAGAAGTGAATTATATGCATTCCAACATTTTAAAAGCATTATCAAAGAAATGTTCATATTGTTTCTGAATGCAATTCTATAAACTGACTTGTGTGTTGATACAGTAGCTGAAAACCTACAAGTGAAATTTATTATGAACAGTAATAGTGTTGGGCTCAGATAGGGAATGAAAGTATTAGGATCAAATTTGATCACGTACTGCTTTTAATTATTGGAGATAAGCAGTGCAGGTGGGCTAAGGAGCAGAATGTCAGGGTGAGCAGTCTAGGGACTCTATTTGTAAAAACCTTTCTGAATGAGAAGCAGGATCTACAAATGGTGATGCATAAAAACCCAGAGCCACTTCCTGAATGGTGCTAAGCCCAGCTGCTAATTTTGGGCACCCAATGTTTCACAGGATGGGGCCCACCACAGACTCTCATATGACGTGACACCCAGACAGCCACACTTCTACAGAACTAAGCACTTGGAACTGCATGAGAAACGCAAACACAGTACCAAGTGGGATAAACCATTCTTTACTAAAAATACAAAATTCCAAACTGTGTAAAAAGCTTATTGAGAGAGAGCGTGAGAGCAAGAGATTTTTTTATTCAGCACATAACATTAAAAATATTAAAGTTAAATCCAAAAACCAATCTAGGGCTGAGTGGAAACATGAAATAGAAAGAAGTTTCAATAATTCAAAAAGAGCAAAATATTTAGGAAAAAAAGTGTTTTACAAACAGCCTCACAATTGACAACGTAGGGTAAAATTCTGTCCTCATGAACTCAATGGAGTTTTGTTTTTAGTCTCAGAAAGGCCAACTGCTGAGCATGACAGAGACTGAATTACTCATTAGAAGTGACCTCTCCAGGACAGATCGGAGGCATATGGTAAGAACGGTGTGGGAAACACTACACACAGATGCCCATGCTGTGCTCTTTCTATGGACAGAGAACCTTGACCTCAAGTTTGACACAATTACCATGAGTTCTAAAATACAGTGATGTAAAAGAAAGCAATAAATCAATAAAATTGCAAAACTTTGCTGCCTTGCACTTGTTTAGTCATTTACAGTTATGAACAGAGAGGGCAAATGCTACCAAACCACAAGGTGCACACTTTGCACAGGTGTATATGACTACATAAGCTGCTAAATAGCAAATAACCGGACTACATAATGGAAGCTTTCAAAGAATGACTCAAGTCTTTCTTAACTTCTAGATTTGCTCTGATTACAGCCATGGGCAGTCTGCCCTCAGTGTAACTCCACTGGTCAACAGGCTAGCACCAGATTCTGGTATGGCATACAGTGGTATACTGTAATGCTCTGCTCAAGTAAATGAAGCCACACTGCAATTTAGGGCAGCAGCAGATGTGACCTCTAATGTAGACAGCTGAAGCCACTCTTTGCACCAGTAGATCGTTCCTGGATTGAAACTAGCATAAAATGCACCAGAGTAAATCATAGTTTATTGCAGCATACCCTGTCTACATTATGAGTTGCACCAGTGCAACTACACAAATTGCTAGCACCAATGGCTGAAACTCACGCAAATCCTCAGTGCAGACAAGGCTTCAGGGGAAAAACATCAAATTCAGCTGAAATTATGGAATTCATATAATAGTAGGGTGACCAGACAGCAAGTGTGAAAAATCAGGACGGGGGTGGGTGGGGGGTAATAGGAGCCTATATAAGAAAAAGACCCCAAAATCAGGACTGTCCCTATAAAATCGGGACATCTGGTCACCCTATATAATAGTGCTACAAAAAGTAATTGTATTTCTTTGCCTGTTATCTAATGTATTATCAGATGATTCAAATACCTGTAAAGGAAGAACAGAGAACAACATAGTCCTGCTTTCATGAGCTACAAATGTGTAGTTAAGCTCTAGGCCACAGTATTTGTTTAAAGTGTTTATCTTTGCTGATATATGTTCTCCAGTAAGAACAAAACAGTCTCCTTTTACAATGGAGTTTTCCATACAGCAACCAAAGAAAAAATATTTGTTATCGACTCCTGCTTTAAAGAAGAATTCAGCAATGTAGACTACCTTATATTTTAAAATAAAGCCATCTAGGTTATGCAAGAGTTCCACTCCAATGATCCAAAGTACAAATGTATCTGGATATGAACATTTTTATTACAGCACAGATAAAGGCTACAGCTTAGTATTTCAAAAATGGAGGCCTGAAGGTTCTAAATCTTGGCTGTTCTTTTTTAAAGTGTTAAGCACCCAGCAACTCCCCCTGAAGTCTGCTTTAAATTTCAGTGGGGGTTTCTGTTGAGTAAATTATTTGGGTTTTGCTTGTGGGCAATTTTTGGAGCATATATTATACACAGGGAACTTGCAAAGCCATAGAGCTATGAGAATTTGAGCAGCCATCTCAAGGATACTGGCATGCATTCTCTTCGGGTTTGAGGGATAAGGCCCCATATAGTATTATCAGTCAGAGTTGTTATGGTGCTTTGCAAGTAGGCATTTTAATATCTGGTAGAAAACCTAATGGGCTAGATTCTCAGATGGTCTAAACTGATGTAGTTCCATTGATTTCAGACTCTAAGGATATGGCCTAATTATAAGAGAGGTGAGTTTAAGGATTCCACAGTTCACGATGTCCCCTGGGGCAGTGAAACTTTGCACCATCCTTATTTTGTGTTCGAATATAAAAGCACAATTTAGCCCTAGGATAGGTGTAGGCCAATCGAGCCCTAATCTGAACCAAATTGTAGATTTAAATTACTAGACTGAAAAGAGATCTCTTTGATTATTGGTGGGGACTACAATGTAGTAATCTAATTCTAGATTGATATACACAGAAACTCATTTTAAAGAAAGACCCATTCCATAAACAACATTATACATAAGCTTGTTGAATAATTTGGCCTTCAGAATATATGGCATTGCTTAGAGGAGGAGGAGTTGGACAAATAAAAAAATAGAAATAAAAAAGGAGAAGACGACTTTCTTCAGTTCACAAATAATTTTCTAGAATAGATATTTCCTTAATTTCCTCATCACTACATAGTACCCATAGTACCCATAGTTTCTGACAGGATCCATATGTCAGAATAAGTTTACCAGGTCTGATCAATAATTTGGATTAATATTGACTCAGCATGTCCCAAACATTTGGAGATTCAATAATTCACTCACAAACTCAAAGTTATTCAGTTTAAATCAAAGTCTTGAGCTCTCACATACAAGATCCAAAAGCTACTGAAGCCAGTGGAGAGATTCCCATTGATTTCAATGTACTTTGAGTCAGGCCCAAAATCTCCAAAACCTCTCCAGGCATATTTATAGGATGTCCCTCAAAACATTTTGAGAGGAGGAATAATGTACTTTTCAACAAAAGCAAATGAAAAACATAAAACCCTGAAAAAAGATTAAGGGAAAAGCCTCATTCCTGTCAAATATTTTCATAAATACAGTGGGTGAATTTAAATAGCTCATCCCGGTTTTAGAGGTCTGACCAATTCCAATTATATTCCCTATATGTAAAAAGAGGAACACCGTTGGAACTGGTCAGACCTCTAAAATCAGGGTGGACTTTAAGTGCACCTGCTGTACTATATCAGGTTCCAAAACTCACATGTTTTCTTTATTTAGGAGAATGAGCCCAAATATTTGTTGTCTTTGTAAGCTATTCAGAGAAGACGAAAATGGGATCACTTCTAAGTAAGTAGTACTATAATTCTGCAGTCACATAATCCTACAAGATATGAAGGGATTTAGCCTCCTGACTAAAAGAGTCAAGAGGGCTAACGATACAATTTAATGCTGAATATTTACCCATGCATGTTGTCCTCATGGATGCACATATATTGATCACCTGTTATTCATGCTGTTTCTTCACAGTAGAACAATTTCAATGTATTTGCATTGTCTTTAGGCTGTGAGTAACCGGATTGTTTTAATTTGAGCTGTTCAGACATAGACATCTTGGTCCAAGTTCACCCCTGGTGTAACCACTGAAGTCAATGGAGCTATACCTGGGATGAATTTAAAACAGGATGTTTTGGGTTTGTTTTTGTTTGTGGTTTTGTTGTTGTTGTTGATTGTTTTTTTTTAAAACTCAGCCCCACTGCCAGATGTTGAAAATTTGTGCCTTATGCTACCATTTGTCTCAGCTGGACAGGTTCTCCAGCCAATTTATGTTTCCCATGATGCCATAAATTCCTATGTACACTACAACTGCTTGGCAAGAGAGGAGATTGTGGTGCTTGAGAACCAGGGAGCCCAGCCCATAGAAGAGAATTGGGGCATGAGGCAATCGAACTACAGCTCACATGAAGTACCACAATGGCATTTCCAAATTGAAATCTTTCAGCCCAAAATTTCTAGTTTTTGATTTTTCAGTAAAGTCAAGTTTTTCTGTGTGGAAAAAAACAAACACCAACCCGCTCTCCTTAGCACTTTGCAAGATGGTGGGAGACAAATGGATTTTAAAAGTGTACAAATAATATATGAGAATCCAAAACAACCTCACTAAGCCAGTAGTCTCACTACTAGTAGTAGTATTTATTCTTTTTATATTACAGTAGCACATAGAAGCAACAAGCAAGATTGGGACACCATTGTGCAAGACACTGTACAAACACAGTGAGAGATTGTAGGCTCATCAGGGCAGGGACTATCTAAATACAAAAAAACAGAAAAAGGTTGGAAGGGAAAACAAATCAAGTGACTTGCCCGAGGTCACACAGCTGGTCAGTGGCATAGCGGGAAATAGAAGCCATGTCTCCTGATTCCCAGTCCTGGGCCTTCTGCAGTGGACCATGGTCCCTTAAGTACTTTGTCTTTTCTAGTTGTGCAGTATACATTGGATAGTGGAGACATAACCAGTTCTTCTCCCTCTCCATAAGGATTCTCACTGCAGCAGATCCTACTGATACAACTGACTAAGTGGGGTTATAGTCAGAAAAGTGGGAAACAAACATCTTAATAGTCCATACTCATTTTCCCCTCAGTGACTTCCATATATTTCCTCAGTTTACAGTAAAACATCATCTTCCCTAAGCGTTAACTTACCCATGGAAAGTAACTAAAAACAGGCTGTGTTTGTTCTGCTTCACAGATTAACACTAGAGGCAAATATTCAGAAATGGAAATAAAATGGCAGTTTTGATGGCGCTCAGGGAGACAGACAAGAACATCATTTGTTCTGTATAAGAGTGATAATGCTGACAACAGTAAAAATGTGTCTGTGTCAGTAACAGCAGATATGACTCAGAAGCAGCTCTATCAACGAATAAGCATTCACAGGAACAAGATGCAACTTTTGCAGAGCCACCTCTCTTCCCATAACCACACACTTCAAGTATTTATGTAAAGAGGAGGTCAGTTAGGCATGAGAAAATCCCTACTTGAACAAGAACCAACTGTGTGACCAGAAATTACGAAAAAGCTGAGACCACAGTTTGGTGGTTGCAAAATTTCTACCGAAAATAGGAGTTCAATCTATCCAGAAATGTGCTGAGTAACTGACATTCATTTTTCTGCCCAGAAAAGAAGATTGGCTTGTTATAACGAACAGTAAGACACGGCAGTGGTATCCTTCCTAGAATTATATCAAAACAAACCTAAGAAATCACCACAAACTAGACTACAAAACCAGCAAACAGCTGCTGTGCAGAGCAGGCTTACAAATCAATCCCACTAGTACCCACTATCCACAAACCAATACTGCTTTTAATCAAATATGGATTATTCTTGAACTTTATGGTAATTAAGTGGCTTTAGTTGGGATTCAGTAACTGATGCCGAAATGGAAGGACCAAGGGAGAAGGAAAACTCCCTCTCCAGTTTGATTAGAGCCTAATGAACTACAATGCACTTTTTCTCCAATCTCTTACATAGACATGAACATTTAGCATAGGCATTTCTTTCAAGTTACCAGTGTTAGGATACTAAAAATTATAAGACCCGGAGACAAAGGTGGTATATTTAAAGTTATGCTGATTTACACCCGTGCAGGATCTGGCCCTTAGAAGTTTATTTTTCTTCAAGATGTTTACTTCTCTCTGATCCCTCAGTCTTTCACAGAACTGAGAGTTAAGAGAATAAATGCAAGACCCCTAGAAAGCCAGGAAATTGCCACGTAAGAACAAGCATAGAAGAAAAACAATCCATTTAGTCACCTCTAAGAATCCTCTTGATTAGTAATACTGTGATTAATTTTAAAGTACAAACAAGTAGGGAATTAAATGGATTTAGTGTCTTTTGCAGTCAAGATTCTATTAGTCTTTCCATCATTTATCAGCTACAGTAGAACCTCTCAGTTATGAGCACCAGAGTTATGAACTGACCATCAACCACACACCTCATTTGGAACTGGAAGCATGCAATCAGGCAGCAGCAGAGACAAAAGCAATACAATACAGCACTGTGTTAAATGTAAATTACTAAAAAAAAAATAAAGGGGAAGTTTAAAAAATTTTTGACAACGTAAGGAAACTGTTTCATTTAAATTAAGATGGTTAAAATCAGCATTGTTCTTCTCTATAGTAAAGTTTCAAAGCTGTGTTAAGTCAATGTTCAGTTGTAAACTTTTGAAATAACCACCACAGCGTTTTGTTCTGAGTTAAGAACAATCTCCATTCCCCAGGTGTTCATACTACTGAGGTTCTACTGTATAATGTTCAGAGCTCAACCTTTCAGCTGATGGTAAATGTAGAAGGTGTTAGTTGAGAAGAAAAAAGTTTTTACATTTTTTGTTATCATACTCAGTCCCAAGGGACTTTAATAATAGTACCTAACATTGCAGTGGCACCTGAAGTCCTGAACCACAGCAGGGTCTCTAGACACAAATCAACCCTACATGATCACCCCTGCCTCAGAGAGCTGACAATCTGAACTGTTAATGCTGTCTTTATTATTCTCCCTTTCTGAAGTACTGTACTGCACTGCCTACACACACAATTTCCATTGACTTCAAAGGGAGTTGTATGGGTGTAATTTAGTGCAGAACTGGGTCCATAGTTATTGCAAGTTATCTTTTCTTCAAAACTGTAAGCACGGGATCCGAGACATCCAAAAAATGAACTTGCAGAGAGCAAAATGCATATAGAGTCATTGAATTATGTGACTGGATTTTAGATAATGAAATTTAGCTTTATTTTTAAACCTAGCATTAGCCACGCAGTTAACTACAACTCTAATCCCACAATAACCTTTCCCCCTTTTGCAAAGAGTGTCATTGGAGGAAGTGCTACAGTGGTCCCAATCTTTTGAAACGCTGATGACTACTAAATGTAAGTAGTTGTCTGTTTGTATGTTGTATGTTTGTACTCCAGCAGAGTTATTTACCAGCAGCTATCTAACTTTTTTAGAAATGTGTGAATAGGGAAAGCTTATGTGATACATTGGTATATCTCCATTTACTGTGTTTTATGGTTACTGACCTCCATTAAAGAGGAAAGCGAATGAAAAATTTTAATGCCAAATCAATCACCACGAATGCCCTTGATGCCCATTGCAATATAATAAGTCACTATGAATCCTTCTGAGAGATAAGTTAGGTGAGGTAATATCTTTTATTGGACCAATTTCTATTGGGAAAGGGACACATTTTTGAGCTTCACCAAGCTCTTCCTCAGGCCTGGGGAATTAAATACAAACTGGGACAGACCATTAAGCATAAGGGATTCATACATGCTATAGGAGACCACTTAAAATGAAGTGGGCCATTAAGGGTTTAGCAGGCAGTAGGGTGTGTTACAAATTGTTGTAATAAGCCATAAATCCAGCATTTGTGTTAAGTCAGTGGTTTTTAAGTAAAAGCAGCAAAGAGTCCTGTGGCACCTTATAGACTAACAGACGTATAGGAGCATGAGCTTTTGTGGGTGAATACCCACTTCTTCGGATGCATTTTTAAGTGTTCAGCAAAGTTATGAATTTATGTTTCTAGGCTCATCTTTTAAAGGTGTTTCACAGGTTTCCTTTGAAGATGAGGACTGAGAGGTCAAACATGGAGTGATCGCTTTGTAAAAAGTGTTCGCCCACGGGTCATAGGGCATTTTTATCTTATTTTTTGTGACGGTTCATTCAAGAGCATAGTGATTGGCTGGTTTCACCCCTATAGTTGTTTTGGGACATCTGATGTGCTAGTTGAGGTACACCACGGGTTGATAGAGGCATGTGATATAGGAGCCATGAATCTTGAAAGGTGTGTTCTGGGGAGTATTGATCATTGTAGCAGTGGAGACATGTCTGCAGGTTTGCACTTGTTATTATGGCAGGATCTGATGCCGTTTTGAGTTGGTGTGTCCTAGTCTGTAGGAAGCTTGGTGAGGTTGGGACATTGTTTGAAGGCCCGAAAAGGGGGGTTGGGAAAGATTTCTTTCAGGATGTGGTCCCCTCAAGTCAGGGTTGTAGTTTGATGACACCCCATGTGGATTCCAGTGTGGGGTGGTAGGTGAAAACTAGGGGTGTATGTTCAGTGGGTTTTTTTCCCCCGTGTATTGAAGCAGGTTCTCTCAAGGTATTTGGGTGACCCATTCCATGATTTGATCTATTTTTCTGGTGGCATGTCCTTGTTTGGTGAAGGCATTTGTGTGTATATCGCGGAGTTTCTCCTCAGAGAAAATTCTGTGGTACCAGTGCCTGGCTGTAGATACTTCTTGCTGTGTTCAGGGTGGTTGCTGGATCCAGAAGTTTCTTGTATATAGTCATCTGTAGGGCTCATCATGGTGTCCAGGAAGTTGATGCTAGCATGGGAATGTTCAAGAGAGTTTGATGGTTGGGCAGTGGTGCTTGAAGTTCTGGAGGAAATCTATGAGTAAGTTTAGGTCATCTGTCAAAAGGATGAAAATATCGTTGATGTCCTCATTCTCAAAGGAAACCTGCACAATGGACAAACTTGGGAACTTAAATTCATTACTCTACTGAACACTAAAAAACATGGCCTTAAACAGAGACATTAAACAGAAGTTACTAGATCACAAGCCCTGGTTCTCATGGGAGACTTCAATCACCCTGATATCTGCTGGGAGAGCAATACAGCGGTGCACAGAAAATCCAGGAAGTTTTTGGAAAGTGCAGGGGACAATTTCCTGGTGCAAGTGCTGGAGGAACCAACTAGGGGCAGAGCTCTCCTTGACCTGCTGCTCACAAACCGCGAAGAATTAGTAGGGGAAGCAAAAGTGGATGGGAACGTGGGAGGCAGTGACCATGAGATGGTCGAGTTCGGGATCTTGACACAAGGAAGAAAGGAGAGCAGCAGAATACGGACCCTGGACTTCAGAAAAGCAGACTTTGACTCCCTCAGGGAACTGATGGGCGGGATCGCCTGGGAGAATAACATGAAGGGGAAAGGAGTGCAGGAGAGCTGGCTGTATTTTAAAGAATCCTTATTGAGGTTGCAGGAACCAACCATCCCGATGTGTAGAAAGAATAGTAAATATGGCAGGCGACCAGCTCGGCTTAACAGTGAAATCCTTGCTGATCTTAAACACAAAAAAGAAGCTTACAAGAAGTGGAAGATTGGACAAATGACCAGGGGAGGAGTATAAAAATATTGCTCAGGCATGCAGGAGTGAAATCAGGAAGGCCAAATCACACTTGGAGTTGCAGCTAGCAAGAGATGTTAAGAGTAACAAGAAGGGTTTCTTCAGGTATGTTAGCAACAAGAAGAAAGTCAAGGAAAGTGTGGGCCCCTTACTGAATGAGGGAGGCAACGTAGTGACAGAGGATGTAGAAAAACCTCATGTACTCAATGGTTTTTTTGCCTCTGTCTTCACAAACAAGGTCAGCTCCCAGACTACTGCACTGGGCAGCACAGCATGGGGAGGAGGTGACCAGCCCTCTGTGGAGAAAGAAGTGGTTCAGGACTATTTAGAAAAGCTGGATGAGCACAAGTCCATGGGGCCGGATGCACTGCATCCGAGGGTGCTAAAGGAGTTGGCGGATGTGATTGCAGAGCCATTGGCCATTATCTTTGAAAACTCATGGTGATCGGGGAAGGTCCCAGATGACTGGAAAAAGGCTAATGTGGTGCCCATCTTTAAAAAAGGGAAGAAAGAGGATCAGGGGAACTACAGGCCAATCAGCCTCACCTCAGTCCCTGGAAAAATCATGGAGCAGGTCCTCAAGGAATCAATTCTGAAGCACTTAGAGGAGAGGAAAGTGATCAGGAACAGTCAGCATGGATTCACCAAAGGCAAGTCATGCCTGACAAACCTAATTGTCTTCTGTGATGAGATAACTGGCTCTGTGGATGAGGGGAAAGCAGTGGATGTGTTATTCCTTGACTTTAGCAAAGCTTTTGATATGGTCTCCCACAGTATTCTTGCCAGCAAGTTAAAGAAGTATGGGCTGGATGAATGGACTATAAAGTGGATAGAAAGCTGGCTAGATCGTTGGGCTCAACAGATATTGATCAATGGCTCCATGTCTAGTTGGCAGCAATATAAACCCTTAAACATTATCCACACATTTCTAAATGCTACCATTGTTTTCAAATCTCAAAACATACTAAAACAGCAGCAAACTGCAAGAAGATTTGTTTATGTGATTAACACAAAAATTAAACATAAGAACATAAGAATGGTCATATTGGATCAGATCAACAGTCCATCTAGGCCAGTATCTTGTCTTCCAACAGTGGCCAATGCCAGATACTTCAAAAAGAATAAACAGAACAGGGAAATTATCAAGTGATCCATCCCCTGTTGTCCAGTCTCAGAACATGGCAATCAGAGGCTAGGGACATCCAGAGCATGGGGTTGCATCCCTGGCCATCTTGACTAATAACCTATCCTCCATGAATTTATCAAATTCTTTTTTTAACCCAGTTATAGTTTTTGCCTTCGCAACATCCCCTGGCAATGAGTTCCACAGGTTGACTGTGCATTGTGTGAAGTAGTACTTGTTTTTGTTTGTTTTAAACCTGCTGCCTACTAATTTCATTGGGTGACCCCGGGTTCTTGTGTTACATGAAGGCGTAATATAACACTTTCTTCATCACTTTCTCCACACCAGTCATAATTTTATAAACCTCTATTATATTCCCCCTTAGTCATCTCTTTTTCAGGATGAACAGTTCCAGTCTTTTCAATCTCTCCTCATATGGAAGCAGTTCCAAACCCTCAATCATTTTTGTTGCCTTTTTCTGTACCTTTTCCATTTCAAATATATCTTCTTTGAGATGGGGAGACCAGAATTGCATGCAATATTCGATGTGTTAGAGTAGCACGGAAATATTTAGTGGCATTATGATATTTACTGACTTATTATCTATCCCTTTCCAATGGTTTCTAGCATTCTGTTAGGTTTTTGCTGCTGCACATTGAGCGGATGTTTTTAGAGGACTATCCACAATGACTCCAAGATTTTTTTTTTTTTGGAGTGGTAACACCTAATTTAGACCCAACCTATTTTATGTACAGTTGGAATGATGTTTTCCAATATGAATTAGTTTGTATTTATCAACACTGAATTTCATCTGCTATTTTGTTGCTCAGTCTTGTGAGAGCCCTTCGTAACTCTTTGCAGTCTGCTTTAGACTTAACTACCTTGAATAATTTTGTGTCATCTGCAAACTTTGCCACCTCGCTGTTCACCTCTTTTTCCAGATCATTTATTAATACACTGAAAAGTAAATCAGTCAAGGACCAGATTGTGCTATAAAAGCGCAGCCTTTAGTGGGGGCAATATAGAGTATTACTGTGCAAGGGAAGATCTGGAATGCACTGTGCTATAGAGAGGCAGTTTAAAATATCAGAAATCACACGCAAGCAGCATGAGTGCTTGTAACCGCCACCCTCAGCCTGTGGCATGCTGACATCTCTTGCAGAAACCAGAAAACTCTGTGATCTGCATCACTGGAGAAATTTGCTTTTAGAATTAGAGACCTATGACTCACTCACATTATGTAGATTTTGCCATTGATGAAATGTCTCCGCATTGCTCTCAGGTTGCTGCAAACGGCCAAGTATACGAACTATGAGAAACTTCACTTGAAGTCAGTGAAGCTGCAACTGCTTATCCCAGAGCTATGTTGCTCTTAAAGTATTTACCTACACTAGGTTTTACTGGAAAATATTTCTCACCATTGCTAACAAAGGTGCTACTCAGCAAGTGGTAACAATGGTTGAAACCTCAATGTTCTCATGGCTGCAGGCATTTTAGCCACTGTATCATCAAGCAAAAAGAACAGGAGTACTTGTGGCACCTTAGAGACTAACAAATTTATTTGAGCATAAACTTTCGTGGGCTACAGCCCACTTCTTCGGATGCATAGAATGGAACATAT